ACTGTAATAAGGCTGAAAAAACGAGAGTTATCGGAGTGATCCTGGCTGACACTTATTAACCTTGCCATAGTGAAGCAATGCGAATGAAGGCTTTATTATCACCGAGAAATCGCACAGGACGGCATCTTCGAGCAGAAAAAGCACACCAATGTCCAGTCACATGCATGCTCAGCCTTCAGATCACATTCGTTTCGTCTATCCGTCACAAGTCCGGCTGATCGAATTAGCATGGCTTAGTTGCCAAAGCCATACCATGCAGGGGTACGGAGTCAAAGTCGAGGTGGAGCTTGGACTAGCGGGGAACAATACGAAAGAGTTATCGGCGCTGTCGCTCGTCACATCTTGCGATCGCAAATTGCCCTGATATCAACCGGAGTTCAACATGCGAGGCTTTCTTCTTGGCATGAGATATACAACATGTCTCTCTTTTCTCTTCGAAGCAGCACTCCTGGGGTTGCGACCCGGTTCGCTCAGGACTGTGACCTGTCAGCATTCGCGGCTTACTACTATGCTTGGTCTAGGTCACACTCGCCACAATCAGGCCGACATGGACTGAGGCTTAGTATGATAGCCATGGGTTATTAACAGTTTTGCGCGTGATCATTCCATGTAATTATTAGGACTTTCATGCTGATGTAAGACGCAGTCCTATCATACATATCCAAAAGACTCCTGGTAGACCGCGACTAGGCGGTTTGCCGCAGGCTTATGTCACGCCCAGATTATGGTCACCTTGAGCGGTAAGTAACACTGAATGATTGGCCATAGACGCAGATGACTCTCTAAACAAGAGCCTAGACCACGAGTGCAAGTTCTGGTGCGGAGACTATCACATTCGTGTTCTTCGTTATTTACTGTCTAATTAAACGTATCTTTTGGCTTAAACGCCACTGGAAGCAGGCTGCGAATAGGAACTTCTGCAAAGATGCCGTTATCTGTCTTCGCTTTACTCTCATTGCTCTGTTGAAGCCATTTTAAATGTGCAGATGAGAGCTACAAAGCGGGGAAGCAAGGGAGGGTAAGCTGCAGCATTTCTGCAAGGCTTCTGGATTGATTGAAGCGGACTGAGAAACTTCCAGTGCAATCAAGTTCAGTCCTATTCCAATCTCGACTAACCATTCTGATCCCGCTACACGGTTCCATTTTTCTCGCAGCCGCCGAAAGAGGAATTCACAGGATAACTATGAGATTGACCCAGATCAGTAATGCAATTCAACATCACTTCTTGAACAGACACAGCTATCATGATCACATGCCCCCCGTACAAACAGCTGGACAGTCCTTTACAGCCACAAAGCTGGTCACACGTCGATAAAATGTTTAGCTAAAGGCCACCGGCTTCTTCTGGAGACCCTCCGTGCAGTCCGGTAGTATCAGCTCAGTGGCGTAAAAGCTCTCCCCAGAAAACAAATCAAGGATCTTGGCATCACCGTTCAGCTCTAATGTTCACACCGCTCTGGACGCCATCCATGCATCCGTAGCTGTCTCCGTCTCTGCGCTTGGCCAATCATTATCCAATTAGTGTGATTATAAGCTTGGAAATGTCCCATGGACCAATGTGTCACTGTCTAAACTAATGGCATTACGAGTCGGATCACCGGCATCGACACCCGCTTATGCATAGCCCAAGAAGGGGCTTTCAACAGACACATGCGGGCTGCATGACGACCCGGGCAGCCGATGTAGGAGATTTTTGCGAAAAGACTGTGGCGGCGGACTAGACGGATGCGGCGACGAAGCGACGGTATTGGACGGTGAACGGAACAGTGCTAGCCAGCTCGGCTAAGACCAAAGTCTCAAACGCACCAAGTCTGTGATTCGCGCATAAGGCTGACGTTACCCCGCGCTTTGTGCTCCGCAGGAAGGACCGCCAAGCATTAAATACCCGTGGGGGCCGAGTCGGGATTGCCCCTTGTAAGCGGCAGGGCTTGGCGAATTTGCATGCGAGCAGATACGGACGCCTCAATTCTTGGGCGCTGCGCGGACCGTCGTTCTCGTGGCCCCTACAGGCCACGATGGGTGACGTTCAGGTGATGGGGCGTCCGAGTCTGGACTCAAGGGGTGGGCTGATTTGACCGTTGAGCTGAAGGGACAGCTCGATCAGCTTACCGGCGATTGTTGCACAGAACGTGGTGAGGAGCTTGTCACTCGAGTATTTAAAGGTACGACGGCACTGACTGTTGAGTCTACAATTCAGCAGTCTTTCACTCACTCACTTTGAAAGCCTACATACTCCAGAAAAACCACCGCAACAATGCAGTCCTTCGTCCTCCTCCTCACCCTCTTGCCCCTCGCTTTCGCGGCCCCGGCCGCCCAGGACGCTCAAGCAGCATGCGTCTGCGAGGACGTGTTTTGCATCCAGTCCTGGCCTGAGGTAATTACACCCGCATCTCAGCCCCCCAAAAAGCAAGCACCAAAAGAAAAGCAAACTAACCACCCATCACCCCATCTAGTCCTGCATCTGCGCCAACAACGCCAAAATCGACTGCTACAACAAGTGCGGCGGCGCGTACCCGACGCTGGGGGACTGCAATGCGAACGTTGCTGCTCCCGCGGCCGTGAAGGCCCGCGCCCCCCAGTCCGACCTCAAGCCCGAGTGCGGCAGCCGCGGCCTCCCCAACTGCCCTGCTGGTCAGGAGTGCGTCAAGCTTCCGGGCGCGACCTGTGGCCCCGAATCTGACTGTGGTGGCGTGTGCATTATCAAGGAGTACTTGCAGTGTGGTGGTTTTGCTGGCACGGAGTGCCCGGCTGGTCTGCAGTGTGTCGATGACCCGAGGGATGACTGCGACCCGAACAATGGCGGTTCGGATTGTATTGGTATTTGCCAGTAGGAGGAAGTTTGATGGGTTTGAGAGGAGGTGAGGGACGTGGGCGGCGGTGGCGGGGATGGGGATGTTTGCTCTAAATTTTCCTTCTCGTGTGTGTACGTTCCTTTCTCCGCCCTTTATTTCAATGTTTCCTGTATCTGTTTGCACACTCCTTTGTTACATTAGATACCTACAAATTAAACCTTCACGGTAACATAACCTCCGACACAAGCTCCAAGAAAACTTTCATGGCAAACAAGACATTGTCAGACCGATCCTTCAGTGTAAAGTTGTCTATTATGCGTCTGTCGTGAAACTAGAGCCTCTTGTAATTTGCGTTACATTGGAATGCGTTAAGCTCTTCAGGCACTATCACGATGTTACCAAGGGATAGGTTTAACTTTTCATGCATTGCTGCTGTGCTACCCGGCGAGGTGAGTTGCGGTGCCTGGCCGGAAGAGGATATGCTCATGTTTGTCCGGAAGGTGAGTTCTGCTTTGTAGAAGTAAAGGCATGGGAAGTTGCTTTGGGCTTGAATTATCTATGGTTTATATGATTGTACGGGTGTGCTTGTGGTCCGTTGAAAGTGCATCGCTCACGACGTATTGAAATCAGCCCTTGTCTAAACGAGGTTAGCGGCTGAGCGGCGCAAGACTCTCGATCCTCCCAACGAGGCAGCGAATTTTCAAGGAATCCGCCCAGCAAGGCTCGAATGCGCCATGGAACACGGCCACACCAAGTTTGTTTGACTATCTTCTTAGCTTCTCAGCGTACGCGGAATATCATGTCCGACTGACTAAGCGGCCCCTCCGCATGAAATCTTCCCACTCGGCGAGTCATCACGGCCCCAAATGTCCACCTCGTCCCAACCACAACCGCGGCGCATGCGCTCGCGACGAGCATGCGAGCCATGCCGCGAGCGCAAACGCAAGTGCGACGGCAGCATGCCCTGCGCCATGTGTGTGCGCTTTGAATACGACTGCCACTACCATTCCGCCGGCCGGAAGAGGTTGGCCCTGGATCCTGGCCCGCAGGTCTCGATAACCGATGCGCGTGCCGTCTCGCCGTCCGTCGCCGCCGATTCTGCGCCTTCATCTGTCACGGGCACGCAGTTGCAGTCGCTGGAAGCAAATTCTGGCGCTGCGTTTCTGAGGAAGCTGGCTATGGGCATCGATCCGGCGAACGCGCCCCGGCTGCAGCTCTTTGCTTGGAATCTCTTCAATGGCTCCCGGAAAACCGCTCGGGTGCCTTGCGTCCGGCCGATCGTGGAGATCATCTCTCTGGCCGACATGGAGTCGTTGATTACAGTCTACTTTAACAAGGTCCATCCCTGCTATGGATTTGTGGATCGCGCCTTGGTGGAGCAGCACATGCAGGCACGCTGGGCCACTGCAACACCCACGCAGGAGCCGTACGACGCCGTGCTTTGCGGCATAGCCGCTCTCGGATATTTATTCTCGTGCAAAAATGCCGTCGACGAGGAGCAGGACCTTGTCGAGACGGCCAAGCACATCCTCGAGCAATCGACCACGCAACCTGGTATTGATGCCGTCACGAGCTGGGCCCTCCGCGTGGCGTACCTGCGCATCACGGCGCCGCCACATATCGCGTGGATGGCGAGCTGCACGCTGATGCACACGCTAGAAGCGTCGGGCATCGTGTCCAAGCACGTGACCAACGTGCTCGTGGAGTCGACGCAAGAGGAAAACGCGTCGCCTGAGCTGGTCGGCCGTCTCTGGGGTGTCGCCAACCACCTCAACATCTGGATGTCGTTTGACCTGGGCCGCTCGCGCGTAGTCCTGCACGACTCGCCCAGCGCGATGCCCTCTCCGCGCCCAGGCGACTACATCGCCGAATTGCTCTCCTTGCTCCCGTACTCCGAGTCCCTCGACCCCCACAAAAACGTCGACCTCCTCCAGCTGCGGCGCTCCCTTTCCCTCGTCCTCAGCGGCACGCACTCGATTCCACCATCCGTGCTCGCGCAATCAAACCTCGCGCTCTGCATCTGCCGGCGTCTGCGCGCCCTCGACTCCGCCATATCAGGCGACCTGCTGCGCAAGGTCCTGGACCTGGCGTCCCGCGGCATCGCCGCCGCCCTCGCTATGCTCCGCGAGGGAAGCCCTTGGCACCACGTCGCGAACGTGCCCTTCCAAATCGTGTGCATCCTTCTGGCCATCGACAACGCGGCGTCGCTCGCGCGGCTGAAAGACGCCATCAAGGCGCTCAGCGAGGTCGCGAGGGTGTACGACACGGAGGCAGCGCACGAGGCGCTGAGCACGGCGTGCCTGCTAGTGTTGCTACACCAGCGGCAAAAGGAGCAAGAAGCCAAAGAGCTAGCGAGCGTGCTAGCAGCGTACTCGCCCGCCTTCGACGAGCGCGGCAACGATGGCTACGGGCTGGGCGTCGACGGAGCTGGTGGTGCTGGGAGCGGTGCAGCTGGTGCTGGCGCAGGTGCTGGAGGCGCGGCGGTGGGCGCGGCGGGCGGCGCGGGCGCTGCTACCGGCGCTCCTGCTTGGTTGGAGAATCTGACGACGGATTTCCCGAACTTGCAGGATTTTGATATCGACCAGTTTCTGTGCGGGAGTGGGCAGTGGGACGTGCCGGAGTCGTGGATGTATAGCATTTGAGGGTAATGGTGTGAGGATGCGTGGTAATGATGTTGTTGGTATGGCGCGGTAAGTGCTATCATTCACGGAAGGTCGTCAGGTTTTGGCGTGATGGTAGTTGACATTCATAAGGTCGAGCCTATGTATTATACCCACCGAGTATGTTACTATCTAGGGACTTGTGAGTGGATTCAACCTTATAACTCGGTGCCGGGACGTCATGTATAACGTATAAAGAGGAAAATAGATGAAAAGAATAACGTGAACCGGACGCAGGGTAGAGTAATTCACCAGTAGATTTGCGAAAGAGATAACGCAACAGGCAAGTCAAATACCATTGCAAGAGCCGTGCCTTTTCATTTCTCCAATTAGGCAACCGTTTTTCACCACCAAAGCTGCAAAACCAAGTCTACAGAGTATCCAGACAAGAGAACACTCGTTTAATAATCAGTATCGACGCAGGCAGAACAACGCGTGGATGGAATAAGATTTTAGCTTCATTCTCCGCAACATCCGCGCTTCTCCGCAATGGCCGCTCCTAATCGGCGCGACACACGGCGCAGGATTGGTTCCGCAATATCCGCGATACCCGTCTTTGCCGCTAAATTTTGCGCTTGGCTGACGCCACGTCATTTGAATCCGCCTCTTTGTTGACATGCTGGAATCCGCCGCGGAGAATAGGGGGGAGGAAGATGGGAGTTCTGTTGGGTGGTCTGGAAGTCTGGTGGTCTTTGGCTGGGGCCGAGGAGGGAAAGGGTGGCGGAATAGGGAAAGAAAGAGCATGCATCCGCGTCTTCAGAACTGTTATTCCATCAGAACCGAATTCTGCTGGATAGCTTGATGAGGTTGAAACCAAAAAGATGGATGAAAGGAAGCAGTAGCAACGGCGATATATCGGCAACCCGCAGAGCCCAGGCCGCCGCGCTCCGCAATACCCGCAAACCGCCTCTAACCAAGTCGCCGCACACGCAAAATAAAGAGTTTGCGCAACGGGCGAGCTGAAAAGCCCAGACGGCCGTGATGAGTCAGTCAAACGCGCCAGAATAAAACGCCTCAGTACCGCTCGCTCGCCCGCCCGCGGAGAACCGAACCATTGGAAACCCTTGGGCGAGAGAGACTGCGCGCTTGAGCCGTTCCAGTCAAGCAAGCACTATGCTTCCAGACATAATACCAGAGACGCGCGATCCGAGCATAAGGTATTTGACGAACCCGCTGCGAGTAAGCCGTGAGTGAGGCCGCGGAAATGAGAAAGGGCTAAAGTGCTAATTGGCCTGGCGAGTGCAGCAGCAGTCGCGTGTCCCAGGAGATCAGCGACGAGGCCAAGTCGTTCGAAGGCGCTGGTGGTGGTATTCTGCAGGTTGATCAGCCGTTCCCGTCAATCGGTGGCGGCAAGCCTTTCCCGCCGCAGATCTCTGACCCGGAGGCCTATGCCGTGGATTTTGATGGGCCTAATGACCCTTTGAGTCCGTATACTTGGAGCACAACGCGCAAGTACGTCTCTTTATCTTTTCTCATTCTCTCTCTCAACTCGATCCAAAACCTCATCAATCCGCTGACCTCGCCTTGCAGGTTCTTCACCGCCTGCATCGTCTGCTTCGGCACCTTTGTCGCCTCATTCGACAGCGCGCTCTTCGCCGCCGGCATCAAGCAAGCCAGCGCCGAATTCAACGTCAGCAACGAAGTTGGGATCCTGGGCACCAGCCTCTACGTACTCGGCTTCGCATTCGGGCCGCTAGTATGGGCGCCAGGGTCGGAGCTAATCGGGCGACGCTGGCCCATCATCGTGGGCATGTTCGGGTGCAGCATCTTCACCGTCGCGTCCGCGACAGCCAAAGACATCCAAACGCTGATCATCTGCCGCTTCTTCTCGGGCGTGTTTGGCGCGAGCCCGCTGTGCATCGTGCCCGGCGTGCTGGTCGACATCTACAGCAACGTGTACCGCGGCGTCGCCATCACGCTGTACTCGCTGACGGTGTTTACGAGCCCGTTCGCCGCGCCGTTTATTGGTGGGTTTGTGAGCGCGAGCGTCCTCCGCTGGCGCTGGACGCTGTATCTGCCGGCGCTGCTCGGGTTCCTCGACACGCTGCTGCTGCTCGTGTTCCTGGAGGAGACGTTCGCGCCCTTCCTCCTCGTCGAAAAAGCCTCCCGCATCCGTAAGCAGACAAACAATTGGGCCATCCATGCCGCGCAGGAGAAGGTCGAGTTCGACCTCCGCCGCACCGTGCGCAACTACTTCACGCGTCCGCTGCGCATGCTGCTCACCGAGCCCATCGTCCTGCTGGTGTCGTTGTACATGTCCTTCATCTACGGCCTTGTCTACTGCCTCCTCGAAGCGTACCCCTACGTCTTCGAGGAGGTCTACGGCATGAGCCCCGGCGTCGGCGGTCTGCCGTTCATAGGCCTCATCATCGGGATCCTGCTTTCGCTTGTCTTTATCCTCTCGCAGCATGGCGACTATGTCAAGAAGCTCGCGGCTAATGACAACGTGCCTGTGCCCGAGTGGCGGCTTCCGCCCGTTATTGTGGGCGCTTTTGTATTCACTGCCGGGCTCTTCTGGTACGTTCTGGTTGCCGTCTTTGCTTTCCCGCCCATCGTGTCGATTGTTGTTATTGTTCTTTGTTTACTAATACTGCCGCAGGTTCGCCTGGACGGCCTACACCCCCATCATCCACTGGATGGCGCCAACCGCGTCGGGCGTCCTCGTCGGCTTCGGCCTCTTGTGCATCTACCTGCCCTGCTTCAACTACCTCGTCGATTCGTACCTGCACTTGTAAGTCCCTCCCCACAACAACACCACCACCAACACCCCAACCACCAAAACCCCACCACTAACGCCGCACCTACAGAGCCGCCTCAGCCGTAGCAGCAAACATAATGCTACGCTCATCAATCGCAGCAGGCTTCCCGCTATTCTCCCGCCAAATGTTCGCGAATCTCGGCGTGCAGTGGGCGGGCACGCTGCTGGGTTGTTTGGCGGCGGTCATGATTCCGATTCCGATTGCGTTTAAGATCTATGGGCCTGCTATTCGGGCGAGGAGTAAGATGTCTGCTTGATGCGTGCGTGGGTGTGGGTTGATTTGGACTTTGTATGGCTTTTGTGGGTTTGTGTAAGTTGGGCTGAAGAGAGGGCGTTTGGTGGGCGTTTGGTGGGCGTGGGAGGGAGGGCTCTGCAGAGCTTGCTAAAAGAGGAGGACTGGGGTGGTGTGGGGTTGAGGAAGGGTTATGAGTAATGTGTTTGGGATAACGTTTTAAAGCAGGATTATAGGATGACTAATGGCGCAGGAGATAATCAAAGTACCTGATGGACGAAAGTACACAGTCAGCGAGCTCCGCGCGCTGCACGGCGAGGCCTTAAGTGTGAAAAGGCAAAAAGCACATGTTGAAGCAAGTTTGTTACAGGAGGGAAGAAGGCAGCTGAGCTTACAATGACGGGAAAAAGGTCCTGGAGGAACTTTACTAGTGCTCAAACATCTTTAACGAAGCGCGGAAGAAGCAGCAGCACGGCACGTCATGCAGCCGAATCAGCACCTACAGCAAGCGATGGCAGTGTTGCAGAAGGAATATACGCGCCCGACCTATCGGCGTATGATGCTGAGCACTGCGCGGTGTTGACGGCGAATTGGACGGTGCCGTTGTTGCAGTGAGTGTAAGAGAGAGAGTGTGTGTGTGCGTGCTTGTTTTGGTTTTTGTTGGGCTTGCTGGGGCTTGTGCGTGTGTGGGGCTTAAGTGCGGTGACTTGGTGAGGGAGAGAGCTTTGGGGGAGGGGGGGTGTGGTTGGCTTTTAGAACTGTTGTCAGGCAGCACAGTTGCAGGCGCAGAACCCGCAAGAGTATGAGCGAATGCTGACGACAAGCTCACAGCTTCGGCGACCCCGCCTCAATCATGCTCCCGCAGTTCCAGAACCAGAGCTGCGACCCCTTCACCCCGCGCAGCACGCCCTGCCGCCTAGGCAACTATCCCGCCTACGCCAGCAACGTCAGCTGCGCCGCCGGGCTGCGCCTGCTAGGCGGAGACTGCCCGACCGTGGGCATCGCAGGCGGGTACACGCAAGGCGGGGGCCACAGTCCCTTGAGCTCGACGTACGGGCTGGGCGCGGACCAGGCGCTCGCGTGGGAGGTCGTGACGCCGCGCGGCGAGTACGTCGTTGCGACGCCAGAGGAACATGAAGATTTGTACTGGGCGCTGAGTGGGGGTGACGGTGAAGGCGCACGCGGACGGGGTCGTTGGCGGCGCGAAGCTGGTGTTCAACACTACTGGCGTCGAGAGGGGCGTGCTGACGGACTTGCTCACGACTTTCCACACCACGCTCCCCGCGATCGCGGACTCCGGCGCGCAGGCCATCTACCTGGTAACCAACGCCTCCTTCACCATCACGCACCTCACAGCCCCCAACCAAAGCGCCGCGCAGGTGCGCGCGCTGCTCGCGCCGTTCACGCATGCTCTCGAACGCGCAAACGTGCCCTTCGTCCTCGACGCCACCGCGCATTCGACCTACCTCGACCATTTCTGGCACCACGCCGGCCCCGCGCCCTACGGCTCCTACCCTACCAACCAGGTCCTGTCCGGGCGGCTCGTGCCGCGCAGTCTCGCGACCTCGGCCCCCGACGCCGTCGCCAAAGTCTCATCGCCATCACAGCCTCCGGGCGCGTCGCCGTCAACGCCATCGCCTCGAACATGGACCACGCATCCTCCGCGGCGGGCGCGAACGCCGTGCTCCCCGCCTGGCGCAGCAGCCTGGTGTCGCTCGCGCCGGCCGCGGCGTGGGATCCGGCTGCGCCATGGGAGGACAATATCGCGTTGTCGGATCTGATGACGGAGTTTGTGGACCCGTTGTTGCGCGAGCTGGCGCCGGGCTCGGGTGCTTATCTCAATGAGGCGAATTTTAGAGAAAGCGATTGGAAGGAGAGTTTTTATGGGGAGAATTATGAGCGCTTGTTGGAGGTTAAGAGGAAGTATGATCCGTGTGCGTTGTTGTATGCTACGACGGCTGTGGAGAGCGATGAGTGGAGGGTTGAGGAGGGGGGGCGGCTGTGTAGGGTTTAGACTGGTTGGGTTGGGAGGGAGAGTGGGGGGTTGAGGGTGTGATGGGGTTGGGTGAGGTGGGTGCGCAGGAATTGTGCTTTGAATAGGCAGACAGAATACCTACAGACAGTTGCAGTAAGCCCGGAAAAGGTTCCGAGGCGACATACCTCGTCCCCCCTCTTTATGTCCAAACGTCCTCAAAGCGTCCTCTACCTCAATATCCCCCGCCACCCTTCCTTACTCACGTATCTCTCAGCCGTCCCCTCCCTCTCCCCCATTCCCCCACTCCCTCCCCATCCCAGCACCACCGACGACGGCACCACCGACGGCGGCAGCGTGGTCGGTGTATTCGCCGTCATAGGGAACCGGACGGACGGCGGGGCCGCTGTACGTAGGTCATCCATATCAGCACTGAAGCACAGCGCGGCAAGCAGGCAAGCAACTGTCAGAACCAAAACACACTCACCAGCCACGGCCCCCGCCCCCGCCCGCTCGTGCCGCATGAGCGCCGCGCCGCCCCGGCCCGGCAGGCCCAATGGTTCCTGCATTACATCCGCGCGCGTCTGCCCGGCAGAGACCCTGGACGCCCCAGCACCACTGCTCGCCCCCGCGCCAGCAGCAGCATTATTCGCTCCGACAGGCGACAGCACCGCAGAGACAGTAGCTACCGTCCCGTCAGTCAGTCAGCGCAGACCAAGTCCAAGTCCAAGTCCAGCGCAACGGCCAGAAAAAAAGGAGAAGAAGA